TTCCATCGTCGTACGCGTAGCCATACGGTGCTGACGCCTACGACTTCCTCTCTTTTCTCTCACCGGCAATTCCTTCGCAGCTTTTTCCGACACACGGGATGCACGAAGCGTACAGCGCGACACATCGTCCATCTACCACCACGCTTTAACACCCCATTCCATCCATTGAGATGGCATCAAACTCCTCGCCCGCCGTGCGCAAAACAGGCGCGCCTGAAAAAAAATACAAATGTCAGCAGCACCCTGCACGAGGAGCTGTATGTGAGAACATCCACTGAACTTCGTCCAGGCCAGTTTTGCAACCGCGCTTTCAGCCGTAGCGAACATAGATCGCGCCATGAACGCTCACGTACGTCAAAACTCCCGTCTTTTCCGTCGCGATGGAGCTTCGCTGGGCGGGGTAGCTGTTTACGCGTTCGCCCCGCGCGTACTGTTGTTGCTACCTGCCCCGCGTTTGTTGGAAAGATTGAAACTGACGTTTGCGACGACATACAGACACCAAAGAGAGACCGTTCAAATGTGCCAAGTATGTTGCCCTGCACAGACGCATTATGGGAAATGTGCTGACTCCAAATCCAGGTGTCGCTCGACATTCGTACGTCGCGATCTCCTCCTACGACACGACCGCACCGTTCACGCGAAGGATGGTGGCGCGCCCCTCCCCAGCGAGCAGAAGCGCCGAACGAACACCAAGGCAGCCGAACAGAAACAAGCCACGGCCGAGAGCGCGACGACACTCGAGCGCATCGAAGCTGAGAACGATGCGATGCACGAGGATGAGGACCTTAACGCTGCGGCCATGTTGATGACCGACTTCCACCACAAGGCAATGGCGAGCCAAGAGCCCGAGATGATCCCCGAGCACAACGAGCCCGTCATCTCGCCCACGGGCCCATCGATGATGGAGCCTGTCATCCCATACACTGCCCCTGGCCAGAACATGCTTCCGCAGATGCCGTGGCGAGACTCAATGGTGCCTCAATCCGAGCCCAAGTCGTCGCCCAACACACACTCAGCCTTCAACAGCGCCAGCGCGCTCGGTTCGCATCCCCACCAGCTTCCACCCCTGATGGAGCGCACCATGTCTGGCAGCGACAGCCTCGCGCCTACCTTCTCAGCAATGAACGGCGGCAATGGGTTAGGTACTCCTGGTGCCCTGTCACCCTACCCCTCCATGATGGGACCCGTGTCACCAGTTGACTACCGCAAGTCGCCCGGCCCCAATCAGGCTCTGATGATGACCCGCGCCCCTCAGCTGGACTCTGAAGAGCAGTGTGCAAGGATCTACGAGAACATCAAGCAGTACGACAGTGAGAACTCGCTCTTGGAGACGTTCCACTTGCCCAGTCTGAACACGCTGAACCGCCTGTTGAAGACGTACTTCGATCTGTTCCACCACCACCTGCCTTTCTTGCACCCCGCCACCTTCAACCCCACCGAGGTGTCTGCCCCGCTATTGCTTGCTGTGCTATCGATAGGTGCTCTGTACATCTTTGACCAAGACCAAGCCTATATGCTGCACATTGGATCAAAGGTCCTAGTCAACCAGTTCCTTCAGAATAAGGAAAACTTCAGTTCCCGCAAATGCCCGTTGTGGACGATGCAGAGCACCCTGCTCAACATGATTTTCTCTAGCTGGAGTGGTGATCCAAAGGGCCTTGAGTGGGCTTGCTCGATTAAGAGTCTTCTTGCCAACGTACGTATAAGTGTGTCTTGCTCACGATCGCCACTAACACATCGTAGATGGTCGCTGGAAATCGGTACGAGCTCAAGCTCCGATCAGATGCTCGTGATGGCGCTCAGCCAAACCACGAAGAATGGGTTGTCGACGAGCAATGCCGACGGACTTACTATGCGGTCTATATCTTCTTCGGCCTACTGACGCTCACCTACAACCACACTCCTGCAATGGGTTTCAACGAGTTCGACACCCTGGAGCTGCCTTCTTCGGAGTCGCTCTGGACCATGGAGGTTTCAGATGACGAAGCCTGGCGCGAGAGCCTGAGTGCTTCCAGGATCATCACGTTCCGCCAAGCGCATGACAACCTATTCCAAGGCGAGACTGCTCGTTACAGTGCTTTCGCGACACGCGTCATGATCAACGCACTGTTCCTCGAAGTATGGTACCACAAGCGTAGCCCTGAAGCTCTCCAAGACGTAGTCACCGAGTACAAGCTTCGCCTGGCCCTGGAGACATGGGAGAAGTCGCTTGAGCTCTGCGAGCCTGAGACAGTCGTTGTCCAACTGAGCGCTCCACACAAGGGCCATCCTCTCATTTTCAACGCCATGGCGCTGTACAGGAATACCAGGGCCCGACTCGTGGTCGATCTCAAGTCCATTCAAGAAGCTCTCCGCTATCACGACTCCTACGAAGTAGCTGCTGCTATGACGAATGCCCGCGACAAGGTCCAGCGTTCACCAGAGATGATCAAGGTCATCCAAGAATGCTTCGATTGCATCGAGGTTGCTGCCGTGCAAGGCATACGCTGGGTTGCCCGAACTTCCGCTACCAACTGGAGCATCGAGCATCCACTTACCGGCATGGATCTGATGGTCATCTTGACACTATGGCTCTACCGCCTGGAGCACGACGAAGAGCCAGCTACCGAGGAGGAGCTGGCCATGTACAACAAGCTGCGCAATCTGTTTGACGACGATTCCGTGGATGTCTACGGTGCAAAGCTGAGCTCCACTGTCGCGCGACTATGGGGCAGCATGATCGACGAGGTCGTCGTTTGGGGGTATGTAAATGCCTATTTGTTCTTCAGTAACTTGGCACTAACGATACTTAGCATCACCAAACTTATGGGCGAAGCTTTCAAGCTACATTCGCAAGCACTTGTTGGCTACGAAGATGCCATGTCGTCTCGTTCCGGATCCGCTACGCCATCAATGGCTGCTGGTGGTGTCCAGGTGCTCGAGATGCAGATGGCCTACTAAGCGAGAGACAGCTTCCGGAACTGGTCGCGATCTTCCACGATCTTGTTTCCATGTCGCGTTACTTTTACAGACTGTGGATTTCCTTCCTATATTTCGTCCTCTCCTTGCACCTGGGAGCATGGCAAGGAGTTTGGCGCCCCCAGCATCGGTCTATTGTTTATCTCATTTCATTTCATTTTTCTCAAGATCGGGGTAATACGGCGCACAGGGCGGGTCTGGTCCAGATTCCTACACTCTCGAGCTCATGCTCTACTCATTTGGCATTCTTCTAATACCTCTCCCTCGCTCATACCCATCGGCATTTCTGGACTGTTGAAGGCTGGCCCTAGGCGCGTTATTGCTTCACTTCGGTTCTGCTACTAGCGCTGCCTTTGTTGCATTCTTGCTAATATCTATTTCTTTTTGCCTGTACTTCGGTAATGCCTTTTCTTGGTGGCATTGGGCTATTTCCTTACATATACCATAGTATGTCATGATTCGACTTCGCGGTGACGGAGATGGGAGATATTACGGTAGTGGATATGAAGTCAAGGTGTAAATCGGTCTCAAATAGTACTGTATGAATACGTCTTCTTATGCCATCATGACATGAACGCAAATTGATATCTGCCTTGCTGTGATGTTTGTGTTCTTCGCGAAGTTGAGCATTCCAAGCCCTGGAGGTTCTTGAAAAGGCCACTAGTCGCACAGACCACCCCGGGGCCCGCTAGATGAAGCTTCATTCTCTTCCAAAATTTCGCGAAACCGACTTCAGCACGACGCATTACCAGCCACCACATCTTCGCATTTCTAATTCCTACCCAAAACCTACAGTCGCTTACCCACACAATGTCGAAAGATATCGAAGAGAAGAGGCTGAAGAAGGAGAAGAAGGACAAGAAGGAAAAGAAGGAAAAGCGCGCAGAGACAGACGGCGTGTCCAAGAGCAAAAAGGACAAGAAGGAAAAGAAGGTCAAGGGCGATGTCGAGATGGTAGACGCGCTCGAGGCTGAGCTCGAGAAGGAGCCAGAAGTCTCAATGGTCAACGTCGTGGACGGTGATGAGCCGCGCGGCGCACTCGTTCCCTTTGCCTTCCCTCTCGCAGACAACGACAAGGAGGTCAAGAAGATCCTCAAGACCGTCAAGAAGTGTATGTTTCCCACTTCATATGTGTTGGCCTGTTTGCGCACTTGAAAGAACAAGACTAACGTTCATCCTGCTACAGCCGCCAAGTCCAAGACCCTCCGTCGCGGTGTCAAGGAAGTCGTAAAAGCGCTGCGCAAGTCCGCTGCTTCAGGCGCCGGATCCTCCCTCGACGACCCCAGCGCCATTGTTGTCATCGCCGCCGATATCTCGCCCATGGACGTCATTGCGCATATCCCCGTTCTCTGCGAAGACCACAACGTACCCTACATCTACATCAAGAGCCGCGCGCAGCTCGGCGAGGCAAGCGCAACGAAGCGACCCACTAGTGTGGTCATGATCGGCAAGGACAGGATGGGCAAGAAGGCCGGCGAGGGTGACGAGGAGTTCACCGAGGCATACGGAGAGCTGGTCAAGGTTGTTGGCAAGGCTGCTAAGACAGTCAAGAAGTGAGAGCAATGCGACAAGTGGAGAAGAAGGTGATCGACCGTGTGTCGAGTGTATTGTTCAAAAGGGAAATGAGGAGTCTGGCGTTTTTCACCCATGGTTGGCTGATCAGTCCTCCTAGTGTTACTGTTTCAATTCTAGGCATCGAGCTAGGCTTGCAATATACCTCTACAAAACTTCACGCGCTCATGCCAACGGACAGTTTGCTCACGCGTCGCCTGCTGAACCAGCTACATTCACGGGTCTCACTCATGAGGCCTACACAAGACACTGAACGGAGCCCTCTGAAGATCGCCTGCAATTCGAGGTGCGATCCGATAAAAGAATGTCGGGTTTATGTACATATCAAGACAACCAAGTATAAACACGAAGAGAACTCGTTCACCACCCGCCCGCAGTTGACATTGTCAGTCGCAAGTTCAGAACCAAGGCCCTAGAGCCCATAGTCGTCCAATCCTCTGCATTCGAGCACAGAGCTCTGACAACAGCGCCTAGTTAGCAGCAGTCCACAGCGCCGGACCAGGGAACGTGTAAGTCGTAGGATTGGTGTAGATGTTGAACACGATACCCGGCATGTCCTTTGTGTACAAGCTGGTACCAGGAACGCCAGCCGTCGGTGCAACAGAGCCGCTACCACCGACCTTGAGGTTCAAGCCTACAGCAATACTTAGCATATGATCTTTTTACATCGAAAGCAGCCTGGAAGATGAGTGACCTACACTGGGGGTACAACTGCGCGCCATTCACGTTCTGCCCACCGTGAAGAGCAATGATCTCATGACGGATGACGTAGTTGCCAGGAGCAAGTTTGGCAGGAAGGACAGTGGAGACCTTGAACTTGTTCTTGATGAGCGTGTCTGTAACCCAAGTTCCTGGGCTGACGATAGCAGATTGAGAGATCTTGGACCAGCGGAGAGAACCGGGGGTCAGAGTGGTACAGTCGCCTGTATGAAGCAAGTGATCAGTAAGAGTGCATGCTGTACTGGTTCAAGCAGATGGCATACCGTTGCAAGGCGCAATGTAGTTGATAATCGGCCCCTTGTGACTATCAGGCCAAGTGTTCCACTCGAACTCGATAGTGTCTCCCGCATTGACATTGGCGTAGAGACGTCCCGCCGTAGCACTCTTGTGGCAGTTCACGTCCGCTGTGCCGACCGATGCAGGCTCGACGAAACCGATGTCTTGGTTCAACGCATCCCAGCCTGCGGTTTGGGGGCGGTTGTCCTTCGAGAAGTAGTACCACACGGGGTCGGAGCCGTTGGTGAAGGTGCCCTTTACGTTGACACCTTTGACGAAGCCGTGGGCGGATGCTGTGTCGAGAAGGACGGCGAGGGCGCCGAGTAGGAGTGCAGATGTGTACATCATGGAAAGAGTGATAGAGTGGTAGCGAACGTTGTTGCTTTGATGCTGATCTGTCGCACTTGTTTCTACCTACTCTTATATGTCTTCAAAGGTCTTCATAGTCTGTATGGCTTCTCATGGCGCTCCCGATCAGATACGGAGCACATCTACCGATCATTTCAGGTAATTCAAGGATCACATAGTACTGTTAGATGACTACAAGTCATTGCCTAGTCCTCTGTAACAGTAATGGGCATAGTCGCTATGGCGAAGCATAGCTTGTTGCTCCATGGTCATACACATGCTGCCCGCCGTGTAGCTTCCAAGACCTTTGATGGCTCAGAATTCCGGTCACAGGCGAAGAACCTGATATTGCTGTGATATTGAATCTGCTTCCGAGTGTGGTTGTGGCGCAGAGCGGCGCGCTTCGCGTGTCCTGGTTTTCTTTTGGGTTAATCTATTCTCCCCGGAAAGCCGCAAGCGAGCAATTTAAATACCGAGAGAGCAACGAATAGTAATCATATAGCGTGCAAATTGAAGTTACACTCGTCACTCGGGAGTGTTGTAAGGTTGCGGACAGTGAAGGGAATTTTTCCGTTGGCTCGCTACTGCTACAGCGGAAGGTGCACGCGGCGAGTGGAGTACCTCGTCCATGACAAACTCTAGCCACTTCATCCGTGACAAACTCTCAGTTTTTGCTCGCTACAGGAAGGTCTTCCAGAGGTTATGTGTAGAAATCGATATCCTAGACGCCGACAAAGGTGCTAAATTGTGCAGCCTATCCTGGTCTGCGTCTATCGTAGACTCAAACCTGATCGTTCGATCAAGCAAATAGCCTCCAGGACTTCTCTGACATGATTCCCCTGTCCCTACCCAAAGTGGGTCAGCGTATGTGTCGCGGACGGTATGGTAACGCCTGCGCGAAGTCAACACAACCTCTTCAAGAGCAATAGCTTTCAGACATACCATCTCGCCCTTTGGCTTTTGATCCTGTAGCGCTGTCTCCTCTTCCCCAGCCTTCTGCGCCTCGCTCTCCTCTTTGTCGTTCCATTCACGCTCGACCTCGACCTTCGTTTCTCTGTCGCTCACTTCCTCTTCGCCGCCCATGTCCTCGTCGCTCATCTCGTCTTCGAACCACGTCTCTTCTTCTGCCTCCGCGGTCTCATGGGTCTCCTCCACCCCAGCAGTGTATACTGCTATCGCATACAGCACATCGGCCTCAACATCCGGAACTGGTGTGTCCTCAGGTCATATGTCGTCTTCGAGTAAACCTTGCCTAAACATATACAATTTAGTTCTTTCTTGGAATCATCTAGAGTGTACCCGGGTACTCACTTTACTTCTTCTAAAGTCTCACGAAGTTCATCCAGCGTCCTGTTCACGGTCGGGTTTGTGCTGTTACGATACCATTGCTTCGTGATACGCCATATGGTTTCACCCTTGACGTAACAGGTGTATGCCTCATGCCAGTCTTCTAAAGTGCATGCAAGCATTGTGAGACACCTCATACGGTGGTATCTAGGAATAGCGCAATCAGCGAGTAATTCGCGCAAGACCTCGATACATTGATCGAATTCGTCCTGTTCGCGGAGCTCAACAGCAGCGTTGAAGCCGCTCGTAAACCGGCGATCTATTTCATCCATAGTGGCCATCTGGAACGTGCATGGCGTTGATGTGAGGGTTGGTGGGAGATATCGTCTCTGCGGTTTGTGATCTGTTGACTTTACGTGGGTAGCATAGCGATCCAAGGATGAAAGATCTAGCTGCACGTGGCAGACAAACGCTCAAGGACCCCGGGCCTCTAGGCCATACGTCATTGTATGGCAATCGGAGGTGAGAGACAGTTGAGAAGCATCCAATTCATAGAACCATAGAACGATTCAACGTATATGCCTGATTCTCATAAATAATACCACTCAATATGATACACGCGTTTCCAAACTCCATATAGCAGGCCTTGAGGGTGCATGCAAACAAATCGATCACATCAAAGCCGACACCCCAGTCTCCTTGCAACCTCGACATGTACTACCTCCGCATCTTCCGCCTGTGATGCTCGACCAAATCATTCTCCAGCACCATAACAGCGTCGAAATGATTCTCCCCGACAGCCTTCGCAATGAACTTCTTCTCTCCCTTTCCATCCACATATAGGCTCGCCTCCACGGACTCTCCGGCTCTACTGCTGATGATCAAGAACTCTTTCTCATCGCTAACCCCGAAATCAGGTTCGTATATGGCACGACCTAACAACTCATTAGTATCATAAAACACCGCCAAACTTGGACAAACGCCAAACTCACCGACAGCCATCTTGCCCACCCTTGCTAGCCAAGCCATAGCGAGCGCCTCTCGCTTATCTGGCACCCTTTCACCCTTCTGCTGCGCTAGGTTTCGTATATCCCGCGCCGTCTCCTCATCTTCCTTGTCTCTCTCCCACTCCAGCTCGCCTTTGATTCTTGGTCTGATGTTCAGGCCGCGGTCCATGTCGGAAGAATTCCATGTGAAGTGCTCATGTTTCCAGTCGTGTGCTGCTGTTCTGAATGAGCGGTGCTCGCGGGTGCGAGCGATCTCTGCGGGGTTGTCGACAGCGCGGATGTGCGTGAGATAGTGACTAGATGAAGAAGGTGGTAGGACTTTGATGGTGATGTGGTATATTGGTGCGATCAAGGCTGCGCCGTGTAGTTGTGCAGGGCTGGTTGGCATGATTGCGCTTCGGGTGTTGGGGACTTTGCGGCGATTGGAGATGTCGGGATCTGCTAGTAGTCAAAAGTAATTGGATTGGTGAGTATTAAAGTCAGAAACTCATAGTAGCCACATAAATAGTCCGCCCAGTCAGTGAATTTCATTTGTACTAGCCGGCTGGTGAAGTGTCGCAAACGCTATGCGAACGCGGCTTCAACAACGCACCAGCTCGCACGATATGCCATGTCTGTTTGACAGCTAAACAAAGCTTCAAGCATCGTGTAGTTTCACATTCCATATCCCACCTCTTGAAGTTGCGAATCGTGGTGCGTGCTGGACAATGATGATTGCGGCGTATAAAGGGTAGAATCACTTTACACGACGCGTCATGTGTATTTAATAAAGCAAGTTCTTAGTCAAGTACTAGACTGTCTGCAAGGTTGCCTATTGCGGAAAGATACGTCCGGCAGTATCTTCTAAAGAAGATAGTCACTGCTCACGGAGTAAAGAGAGTCGTAATGACATGTCGCGTAAAATTGTTCGAAAACGTTCGCCAGTGACGATTCTCAGAACCTACGGGTTATGCCAGTCCCACGCTGAGCCATCATCTGAACGAGTACTCACGCCATTGGGAAAAGCTACATGGCCCAACTCCTAGTATCTGCCGCCGGGTGGGGGTTGGCCATACTGCTGCTGACCTGGGTAACCGCCGGGGCCTCCTTGGGGCGGTCGCTGCTGGCCATACTGACCTGGTGGAGGTGCTTGTTGACCGTAGCCTTGTGGAGGTGCGCCGGGTGGAGCACCGTATCCTTGGGGCGGATGCTGACCAGGGGGAGCACCGTAACCCTGGGGTGGCTGCTGTCCATAGCCTTGCGGCGGCTGTTGGCCATAGCCCTGGGGTGGCTGTTGGCCGTAACCTGGAGGAGGTGCGCCATACTGGCCAGGTGGTGCGCCGTAGCCGCCAGGTGCAGGGTTGCTCTTCTCGTCCTTCGAGTCGTAGCTTCGATCAATGGCACCGAGAAGAAGCTTGATGATCCAAAGATCGGGTGTAAGATCGACAGGAGGGTTTGCGCGCATCATCTCTTCCTGTTCGTTTTCGAAGTCTGATTCTGCGTTAGCACAGGTCTAGTCTGGATCGTATGAGACTTACTGGACGTGCAGTCAACCATAGGGCCAACCTCGGGTTCCTCATCGAGTTGACTGAGGAATTTCCTTGCGGTCACATCGTTTCCTACCTGAGCAAACTCGAAAGCGACAGCACCACGGCCGTAGGGCGTCGACTGGAGCTGTCTGTAAGTCTCCTTGATGACCTTAAAGATCTCGCCGGAAGGCTCTCCCGCTGGCTGCCCATCGGTGATGGCAATGACCAATACTGGCTTTTGCATCTGTCCTGAGCGTGCCTTTGGGAGTACTATCTCCTGGATGACTTTCTTGTCCATAGAGGTACCCATGGGTGTGAGGCCCTTGAAGTTGACGCCACGCATGATCTCTGCGACCTGAGCCTCAGTCGCGACGCCATCTTGAAGAGGTCGACCCTGTTGGTTGCGAGCTCCCGAAAGATCGGTGTTCATGCAGCGGACAGAGATGCCATCGTTGTCAAAGAGAGTTGCAGCGAACGAGACTCGGTCCAAAATAAGGCGCAAATCTGTGATACGGCTACCTTCCTCTTCGAACTGCATGGATCCACTGTCATCTAATGTGTGTCAGCTTGATCACGATTCTCGAGCTGAGCAACTTACCGATGTATAGCACGATGTCGTAAAGCGCTAGCTTTACAATGTCATTGGCAATCTCCTTCTGGATCTTCCAGCGCGAGATGACTTGATTGATCTTCGCGGGCGCTTGTTGAGCAATCTGGTCAATATGTTGGCAGATTGGGAAGTTCTGGAGGCCCTTCTCTTGGATGCAGGCTTGCAGAAGCTGCTTGTAGCCCGCGATCTCAGCTGGTCCGGCCTGAACCTGTTGGGGAGGGGGCGGGCCGCCGCCATATCCTCCTTGTGGTGGAGGTGCGCCATACTGGCCCTGCGGAGGCTGTCCTGGTGGTCCACCCTAATATCACGTTAGTCTCTGCACAAATCTTCGCGGAAAGTCACTAGCTCTGCGCCTTTGCTCATACGTGGGTTTGAAAATCGAAGAAATCTAAATTAGTACGAACATTCGGTTGGAAAGCGGGCTGCTGGCCGTAAGGTTGGCCATATTGCTGCGGCGCCTGTCCGTAAGCGGGTTGCTGTGGTTGGCCCCATTGGCTTTGCTGCTGGTAAGGCTGTTGTGGTGGTTGCTGTCCATACGGCGGCGGGACCTGTGGCTGATTCCATTGCGCGGGGGGCGCTTGACCTGGTTGTGGGGACTGTGGGAATGTCGATTGAGAATACGGAGATGAAGGCTGTTGTCCTGGCGGTGGTGGCGGGGGTCTGCTATACCCTGACTGCCCTTGTGGATATGGTGAAGATGCGCCATATTGGGTGGGAGCTGCCGGTTGCGCAAAAGGCGACTGCGGCGGCGCATACGAACCAGGACGCGGAGGCATAGGAGGACCAGGCTGTTGTTGTTGCGCATAAGGATTTGGCGCCTGCCCGGCGTTGGGCTGATAGGCAGTATAGCTAGATGACATCTTGCTTGATAGAGGCATGTGTGGCTAGGTCCAGGAACGAAGTGTGGCGGAAAAAGTCCAGAGTGGATGCCGGGCGTGCGATAATTTATTGGAGCCAAAAGCAAGTGGAGAACTAGAGAAGAGGCTTGCGAATGCCCAGTCTTAAGTGGCGGGTAGGGAAGGGCGATGACGACGCAGAGCAAGTGACAAGAGAAAGAAAGAGCTTTGGGCTTACCCCGGGAGCACCGGCACCTTGGGCACCTGGATACGCTTGATACTGTGGCTGTCCAGGCTACGTTGCATTAGTGAATCATTGCCAACATCACCCTTCACTTGAAGACTTACGTAGCCGCCTTGTCCACCGGGCGGAGGATAGCCAGATGCAGCCTGAGCCGCCTGCATCTTAGATGCGAGCTTCGCCTGGTTAGCTATGACGATGGTGGGGTGGAGGGGTAGCTAAGGAGCTGGCTGATAACATACACCCATCTTGCTATTTGCGTGTAAGGGTTCTGGTGCGTGACAGAGGATTGAGAAAGTCGGACAAGGCTGATTCTTGAGATAGGAATTAACAAGGTTGAGATGGAAGGTCAGGTTATAATGTATGCCTTGCGATGTTGGCAAGAGCCGAAGCTGACGCGCTTACCTGCTAAGCCCCCGCCGGTGCACCGCCCTAGTCACGTATTGGTTAACGCCACATGGCCATTGTTCATTGCACACCAACACCGTGGCTGTTCGTTATGAAATGTGGGAACGCGTGAGGCTGTGCCTTCGGATAAAGTGACGAACGAGCGGGGCATCATCAGGCAACCGGATTTTGTACCAAACATTCTTGAGGCATGTGACGCTGCCGGCCAAAGACCCTGCTGCGCCTCTGCTCCATCTGACTGACCGTTACAAGTACATCTACATTCGTATAGCGCCCGCAGCTTACAAGGCGATTGATGCGCGTGGTGCTCTGAGTTGTGTAGCGTTGTTGCATCTTGACGCGCTCATGTTTAGATCGTTAAAGCACGACAAACGTCCAACTTCTCGACTTACGCCGGTGCATCTTGATACTTCCGCTGCTTCAAGCTGATTTTTCACGGTGTCACTGGCTCAAATTTCTAATTCTGCTTTCTGCTCGACATCTATGGTCTAAGAGTTCAGAGTACGTACATAACCGCGATACTGCCCATTACCTGCCTTCTTTGGTAGTAATTTTAGATCGCTCCAAACTGGTTTCGAAATAGTTTTCTCTGATACCCACACTGATCTCATAGCCGTCAAGCGTCTCAGGCTCGGTGGATCTCTCACCACGCTCTGCTGCGAGCGCAGCTCCCAGGATCGTACCAAGTTGAGCCTCATCTAGCACGTTCACTCGACGGAAGTCCATCAGACTTGGGAGATTGCAATACTTGAAGCGAATATTCTTGCTTGGAGCTGGGTAATGGAGGCTTCCGTAATCCAAGATAAAAGCAATGCCCTGGACTTCGTATCTTGTCTCAGGTGGGGTGCGGTGGTAGTCTTTGTATACCTCTAACACCAGGGCGTTGTGTAAATGCGTTGCGCCGGCGAAGACTGCAAGTCTTGTGCCCTCGGCCGAGATTTTCTCACCCGAAAGATACGTTATGGGATGAGTGGCCTCACGAGTATCGCCTTTCTCAGCGACTTGCTGCATCGAGGCCCAGCATCCTTGTGTATTCTTGCTGATCGCGCAAGACATTATGTCTGCTATACTGCCATGACCTGTTCGATGGGATCTGTTGCGTTCAGTCGCTCGATGCTGCGACTGTTCGGTAAGAGCATTGATAAAGGCTCTTTGAGATAAAGCCACAGCGGCTTCACTGGAAGTTACTAGCCGGCTACCCAACCAGCGATACTTAAAGAAGTCTTTGAACGCACGCATACGTTCCGGTTCTGCGTTGAAAGACTCTACTATTCTTTGGACTTCCGGTGGTAAGGAAAGCTGAACCCCTTTCTTAGTATGATACCAGTACTCGTACCGATACGGAAGATAGAGTACGTCTGTAGCGTTGAGGAATTGCAGTGATGCAGTTATCTCAAGTCCTCGAGCGAGTACAAAGCTGCTATCCCAAGTACCTGGTGCCACCTCAAGCGCGTATCTTGCAATCTCTTCACGATCTAGTGCCAACACACGACGGAACAGGTTGAGAAAGTCCCGCTCTTTCCACAGATCCGGCTCTCCACCTGCACATTGGTTTTGCAGAAGCTTTACGAACAGCTGCTTACTTGACGTGTTGTAATCAGGAACAAGACGATGCGCGGTCTCGTGATCCTGAGATGTAAGACCTAGCAGTGCGTATACTTTATCGTGAATAACGCTGCATCGAGACTCGGAGAATTCCTCGATTAACCACCGGAGTTCGAACTCCAGTGGCCAATCATAACCAGTGCGAAGGGATCGGGATCTCTTAGGGTCTCTATAGGTTCGATATTCTCCCCGAGATATCAGAAGTTTGAGGCCTGGAATATCCGGTTTGTCGTAAACGTACATATAGATCGCGCGGCCCAGCTCATCTGCATTTGCCCGGTACTCGCCTAGCCAGATTTCCAGAGTCGGCGGCAACAATGCTTCCTGGACAACCCACATGCGGCACCAGTATGGCTTCTGGAGAATGTTTATTATGGCCTTCTGGGTCCACTGCCTACCAGGATGGTGATCGGGTATGAAAGGATACGCCACGGTTTCGTCGGTGGTCGTCTCTCCCAGCCACGCGATGACTGATCTAGCTGTCGAATACAGGTGAAACATCTTGGTAACTTGTTGATTTCGCTCCTCGATATCATTTTGGTTTATACCTGCATCCGCAAGTTAGCGCCCTTGAAACACTAGTCTCGCTGATCTGTACTCACAGATAGCATCAACCCACAAAGTAGCATTCTTATCAGTGTTCCAGGAGCGAAAGTGACGTAGGAAGTCCCAAAGATTCTTTCCGATCTCGATATCCACGCCATTACATTGTATGCTACACTTCCCACTTTCCGGAGACCATGTGTATGACAGTGCGTGGTAGAAAAGGTGTTCATGCAGTTCTGCGTGAGAGAGAAAACATCGTATCGGCTCATGCGGCTCTCCAGGACACACCTTGAGCAACCGAATGGAGTTGGTGTTCGGATCAAGAGGTCTATACAGGAATACCGGCATGCCGCCTGTAAGATTATCCAAAGCGGGGCCGACCGGGTGGAATCAGATTGCCTGCGCTCCCTTGACCTGTAACTGAACTTAGGGGGATAGATAAGGATTTCGGCCACCAAGCTTCCATCAAGCTCAGGCTGCGTGAGGCGAGTGTCATCGAGAGAGGGATTTTCGGACGCCGGCGAGGGCAGCACATGTATGAAAAGTAACATCCCATGACTTATGCATATGCTGTGACACAGTGTGTGATTGCCACGTTGTCAGCGAATCCAATGCCGGCCTTATGACGAAGAGTCGCGTCGAATCCTTAGCGAGTGGGCGGATGCAGGTGTGCTGGGGGATGGGCGCTTAGTTGTTTGTACCCGTTTGTAATACACCGAGTGGGTTTCCCAAGTACTGGTTCTGTACTTTAGCTGATAAGTAATAGAGGAATAATTCTTGCATAGCGTTGAGGCATATCGTTCTAAAGCCTGCTGCGCATCTGTGTAGCTGTGCTGAGCGGTAGCCCAGGGGGCGGGCATGCAGTGACGAAAGAAACCGTGTCATGTCTCGGAATACTTGCTGGCTACAATCTTGATTAGACCACCTTTTTGTGTACCTTCCTCATTCATTAAATAACGTTACTGCCAAAAGGTATGTGAAACTAGCAGGATCGCGTGCTCTTCTTTTGGCGCAGCGCAGTTTTGAGGAGTGGCGACGGCGATCACTATCATGGCTATATTCGTCTCGTATTGGACCATCGTGTATCTTTATACGTGCGAATCGCTGTGATGGTCAGAATCAGAGATCCGATACAGGTTGTCGAGGGGGAAGCCGCCACCAGCCGTGTCGGCGGGCGATGCCCCGCGGGCCGCAACCCCGCCCGCCCTCAACTCAATCCATACATACGATCATGCACTCGTGCATACACTATTTACTTCACGTGCGGAGGCGGTCCTCGATGACCTGCTCAACTTTGCGTAAAGAAATTTCTTGTCCTCATATTAGCATCTACCTAGGTATGATCCAGCAGTCAACATTCTCGCGCTTGGCTTCGCGACAGTCGGCTTCTTGTTTCTCGCTGATAAATCCAGACGCGATAGCCTGCACGATGGCTCACTAGCATCTCACCCTGGCGCACCGATCTTGACTATCGGAGTGTGTATCATGCAAAGTCTTACTTTCGGCTGGGTCCTCTGGAATCGATAAATTCAGTGGACATGGGAAAAGAACTCACCGGTTCGAGGGTGATAAGACTCGCCAAATATCAGTGATCAAAGTGAGTGGTGTTAGAACGCACGTACTGAAACATCCGACAGGCTTTGCAAATTCTCACAATCCTTACTACGTACATATCACGAAGCAGTGATATATGAAAGCATCGATCCGATTGCGATATATGAATCAAGCACGATAGGAGGGCTTCATTTCTCAATTTGATGTTAACCTCCTGTCCGTCTATACCCTATAGCAAGACCACTTGTCCCATCCACCATCGCACCAAGCATATACGTTGCTGCCGTACTGCCTCGTACATGCTGCAGGAGTGTCGACATTCAAGACTATACCGGCGTTGAGGGCTCCACCTGAGCATCGCCAGTCGTTGCATGAATTTCCGACCCGGCCAGCAGTCAAAGGAAAGGGAGGAAACTGCTCACGGCAGGCCCGGGGCATGTCTATGCCGCCGAGTCTCTGGCCAGCTGCCGCTGCAGCAGCTGCTGGGGCGACGAGCGCTGCTGGGGCGCCAAATGCTGGCCCGGCGAGGAGGCCGAAGCTGATAATGGCACCGAGAACTGTAGTGTGGGTAACCATATTGTTCCCTGTACACAGACGAGTGGAAGTTAGTAATTGGAGAGATAGGTTTCTATGTCTCAGTTTGGGGAAAGGAAAGATCTCGCTACTGCCACATACCTAGGTATTTGATGAAGACTGATGCGAACAAGTAGATCGTGGCTGGGTCTTGAAATTTGTGAGATGGTCGCGGTGTGCTCGGTGAGTGGGTGACTATGGAGGGGAGCTACCTAGGTATTCAAGGTGAAGAAGAGTAGTTGTTATAGTGATTTGCTCCTGCTTCGAACATGCGCCTTCATGTAGGTCGTCCAGGCATATTGATTACTAGCCACGTCACAACTGTCGACCAAATGATCTTACTTGTACGCTAGACGTTGGAAGGGAGGGGAAGGGGGTGGGTCTAAGATCGTTTATGCTACTATGCGGCGCAGCTTGGTGTAGCCGAAGTAGTGATAAGCAGGCGCAAACATATGTGGCAAGGCTCTCGACCTTGGAG